CTCATTTTGTGGCTGTATACATTATACATAAAGTTTATCTGCGTTCCAGCTTGGTTAGCGCATGCGCCTTCCGACCAGCCGCACGTCATCACGTATGAAGGTGCGCACGGCACGGTTCGCGCATGCGCGATCAATTAATGGCGGCCAGACCGGCGGATTTAAAAGAAGACGAGGACCAACAGCAATTCAGCAAGCTCCTGAGGAAGTCGACATCGACAAAACGCGTTGAGCACCTCCAAGATCCCTGCAGTTTTTGGTATAGCAGTCTTTTTCTACAAGCATTCCATCTCATAGTATTTGTGCACTTTATGCTGTTTTTGAACTACTGGCATTTGCACTTTTGTATTTCAGCACTTGGCACTTTACTATTTTCCCTTGTATGATTATAGCGGCTATCCTTAGGGGTTCTTGGTCCATTTATTTTTAATATTGTTATTTTAATATTGTTATTTTATCTATATTGTGCATGTTGCACTTTTGGATATTACTGTTTCGATAAAGTGGATTTTTTATTTCCACGGATTACTCTTCATTTATGGGATTATTCCATACCATATCGTTATATGCTTTAGTGTTTGTGGCGCCCTGTAGCCTGTACTAGTGTCCAGACATTGTGTTTATTTTATATAGGGGTTTAGAGTGACCTCAAAACAGTGGCTTGCCTACATTAAAGTTGAGACCTATTATCACCTTCATCACCCTTCTATTTAGAGTTATAAATATAACTCTATTTCATTGCTGCTACCTGAAGTTGTAAGATATCTATGAAAGGTGTATTTAAAGTGAAAGATATTCCTCAGACATTACATACAGGTTTAGTCCTCTAGCTAACACAAAGAAAGAGGTAAAGCTCCTCTAAAGGGACTTAAAGATGGGAGAATCCATAGTCTAATTATAAGCCATGTCAAAATAGTTAATGCATCTGTGCTTAAATAATCAAGCTAAGTAAAACTAAATCCAAAAACACCCTACATAAAAATACTTTCTGTATATACTCTACCTAGTGGTATGGGGAAGTATTAAAAAGAAGTGCGACCTTAACTCAACCAATGTTGTTATATTTGGGAAATATTATTTTATTAGATACTTTGATCGGTACTAAGTGGCTTTTCTACTTAATGTCTACCATAATCCAGGGAACATAAACTAGATACTAATAAAGTGAAAAGGATCAAAATCTGTCCAGGGTAATATAGGGATCTAGAGGATAATTCTTCACTATATATATAGGACCCAAAGCATCTTTTAGACACAATTGAGACAAGGTTTCCACTAGTACAAAGTGACAGAAAGTAAGTAATAGTTACCTAAGTAAAACCCCCATTAATACTTGAACTAAATGGGGGAACAGAGATAAAGTCATGAGAGAGATAATCTGTCTTGATCAAAATAATACTATATGAGTGCAAAAATATGCACTAGAGGAGTGCCATATGTACTTCCTAAAAAAGGGGGGAAGTGGGTAGGATAGGGGAATTCAGAAAAATGGATGTTACCACATTAGATGGTAACTATAGTAGCCTGATAATAAACATCCCCAAGTGGACAATACCAAAAGTTTGAAGATCTCCTCCTCCAATACCTCAGGACAGAAGTCCCTACAACCAAAATAAAGCTCCAAATCTAATCTCCATGTAAATCTCTGAAATAGACTGTCGCTGATAAAGATAAGTATCCACTAGATAAACCCGAAATGGTAGACTACATTAAAAAACAAATTCCCATTCCCACAAAAATTTAATAAACAAAAAGATAACAAAAGCAAAACGCCCAACGCTCGTTTCTGCCCTAGAGTGTTGTGCCTTCATCTGGGGCTATCAATCCTCTAACTTATTTATTTCAATGTAGTGTTTATTAGTCATTCATGATAGCTCAATTCATGCCCAGATCATTTTACTCGGTATTTATCAGGTGGATGTAGTTGGCTTGCCATATTGTGTTTGATGTCCACTTTGTATACTGTTAAAGCATTTAGCATTACCTTCACACTAGGGGTGAGACCTTTGGTATAATCAACATTATTTATCATGACATTTTTGGGAGATTGATTCATCCTTTCTGGTTTTGCTACCAATCAAACACACAATATTATCCACAAAATATAATGGGGTAAAATATTTAAAATAAATCTATAATGGCGTTAGTAGTTTTGTTTTTCTTGTTTCATGAATACTACAACCTGCAATATCAGTGTTGTTCATTTGTAAAAGATAAATACGAGTGCAAAGATTTAACTGATATGTACAATGACATTTTCCCATACTCCTTTACTATTACTATAGCCGCTTGGAAGAAGCAAGTAACAGTTTGGTTCTTTCCATCATACTCTTAGATGCCAGGAGTCTTTCTTTAGAATAAAATGGATGCATTATTGTCTAAGCAGAGTGCTAAATGTGCTTTACAAAGATTATTCGGACAAAGAAAAAATTATTTCAGATAATTCTTTTTCTTTTGTTTAAAGATAATATTGTTTCAAGTGCCTGAAATGTTCACTTCAGCACTTTGGCTTAGATTTCTTTTACAAATAAATACAAAAATGTAGTTTACAGATTTTCTATTGTTTCTCACTATTTTGTGCTTGAACAAAGCAACACATTGATTATTTTGATAGCTGCTATTGCTAGCACAGCACAAATTACAATTTAATGGGATCAGCTTAACACTACACATAAAACAGATGTCAATATCATTCAAACTGATTGATATTTGATACACAACATATTATAGTACCTAAATCTTTCTTTTAAATAAATCCTAATAAAAAAAACCATAAATACCAAACATTATAATTAAGTAAACAAAAAGAGAAACATTAAAAAAATTAATATGTAATTATGGATAATATAGTTTTAGATATTACATTTAACTATTTATTGGAAAGGCCATTGAATATGCACACTCACCAGAGGAAAATGTGAAAATTTTAATTAGATACATGTAAAAAATAGGAAAACAGGGGGAAAAAAAGCTGCTACTTCTTTAAAGGAACACTATGGCATCAGGGATACAAACATGTATTCCTGAGCATGTAGTGTAAAAAAACAGCATCTAGCCCTCTGGTCTCCCCTAACTCCCCTAAACATAGTAAAACCTTACCTTGGAAAGAGTAAAAATAAACCAGGTGGGGTCAGTGGAGAGGGAGGAAAACTAAAGGTAGAGGAAACAGTAAACTGGGGAATAGGAATAGAGAATCCCAATTAACATTCCAGAAGAATTGTAAAATATATATAACCCTCTACCTTTAACAATTCAGACCAGTCAAACTAATCCCAATGGCACTTCTATACCACACAAAACTAGGCTAGTCTCTCTAAAGCCACAATTCCCCTATAACTGGTAAGTTGGATTGCTAAGTAAAAAAGCCATTAATTAAATCATAAGTGCTGTCTAAGTGCTACCTAGTGTCTAAAAATACATAAATATCTCAATTCTTTTTTTTATTTTTAGACACTAGGTAGCACTTAGACGGCACTTATGATTTAATCAATGGCTTTGACAGTAAGGATTGACAGAGGGGAGAGATGTGAGAGGAGTAACAGGAGAGGATAATCAGTATAGCTGCAGCATTCATTACAGACTGTAGTGGGCAATACGACTTGTGGGAAGACCTTTTAGGAGACAGTTACGATAATCCTTGCGAGAGATTTCTAGAGGATGGAAAAGCTCCTTATGAGCATCTTTTGTAACAAACGGGTAGATGCAGACTATGTTTTTAAGGTGGAATCTACAGGATTTGGTAACAGACTGGATGTGAGGCTCAAATATGAGGCAAGAATCAAGTATAATGCCAAGACAGAGCGCTTGCAGAGATGAACTGATGTGGGTACCACTCACTTGAAGGGAGAGTGAAAGAGGGGGATTAGAATTAGGAGGAGGAAAGACAAGGAGTTCAGTTTTAGAGAGATTGAGTTTCAAAAAGCTGTAGAACATCCAATCAGAGATGAAAGAAAGGCAAGCTTTAATAGCCACAATTAACGAGGAACTCTTCACTCTAATTAATGTTTATCTGCCTAATAAAAACCCCATATGTCTATTGAGAAAAGTAATAAATAAGGTTGAGAAAGTAGGAGTAGGAATAAAGATATATGCAGGGGACTTTAATAGTACACAAGATCCCCTATTAGATAAGTTCTCTGAAAAACATTCGATTTGGGACAAACAAGTTTTAAAAAACGCAAGGACTTTTAATAACTTGATGAAAAGAAAAGGCCTTTTTGACATATGGAGACTCAACAATCCTGCAGTGAAAGAATTTACGTTTTACTCCTGGCCCCATAATTCATACTCGCGTATTGATCTTATATTTGGAGATTTAAAATTAATAGATAGAACATATAAAATAGAAATCAAACCAGTAATATGGTCAGATCATAATAGTGTGTGTCTGGAACTAAACAGTAATAGACTAAAGAGCAATAAGAATGAATCATTATTATCAAATAAGGAATATAAAGACTATATAGATAAAATGACCATTTGTTATTTTGAAGAAAATAATAATGGACTAGTGGAGAATGATACTTTATGGTGCTCATATAAAGCAGTAATAAGGGGACATTGTATAATGCTCAACAAATTAAAGAAAAAAAAAGAAGGTGCAAATGTACAAGATCTTTACATTGAATTATATAAATTAAATTAAAAAAACAACGATAATCCAACCAAGGATACTCAGTTAAAAATAGAGAAAATTAAATCTGAGATTCAGGAAAAAACTTATGAAAAAATCAAAATAAATATGCATAAACTTAAAGTTAAATATTATCACAAATCTAACAGAGCTGATAAAATAATGTCTAATATGTTGAAAAAAAGAAATACGACCAATAAGGTCGATAAAATAATTACTAACGATAACATCTCCCTTCTTCCAGAACAGATAGGGAAAGCATTTAATGAGTACTATGCCAATCTATATAGTCTTTCAGTAACTACCCCTTCAGAAATAATAAAAAAATATATTAGATCAGCAAAATTGAATAAAATAACAGAAACACAGGTAAATAACTTAAATAGAGAGATTACGGAAGAAGAGATCAATTTAATAATAGATAGATTAGAAACTTATAAAACGCCAGGTCCGGATGGATTTGGAAATAAATTCTATAAAACAATGAAACTTCATCTGATAGGCCACTTAAAAAATACCTTTAATTCTGCAGTTAAAAAGGGCAGATTCCCAGATGAAATGCTTAAAGCAAATATTTTACCTATACTGAAACCAGGGAAAGATCCAACTAAAGTACAGAGTTATCGCCCAATATCAATAATAAATGTAGATATTAAGATATTTTCTTCTATTATAGCTAGCAGATTAAAAGAAGTTATAAAACAGCTAATCCATCCTGATCAAACAGGTTTTGTTCC